CCAGATATTACACTACGAAAGTATGATAGTGAAATTAACTAAGACTAGAAAATAAGTTTTTAATGCAATAATGTAAATGAGAAATGGCAAATGAATTACAAGCGTCAGACTTTAGGGATAATCGCAGGAAATCAGAAATCATGAATCAGAAAATTATTCAGGGAACAATTTAGCTCAGTCTCAAACTCAAACATAAATATATAATCAATCCACTGTCGTGGCATCAATCACTTTATCTTGCAACCTAGAATTTTATACTATCGTTTGAACCTAGAATTCTAGACAAACATTAATGAACAAGTTTGATAAGTTCACAAATTGCCTTAGCATCAGCTTTCATTGGCTAAGGATAATTTGCTCATCTATGTTCTTTCAGGCATTTAATCGAACACTTTTGGTGCATTAAACATCATAACATCAGGAACTATGTGATCAATTGTGGAGGCCAAAACCAACACAACTAGATTTGTTAGGGTTTCGTGAAGAGGTAGAGATTTCTAGGGTTAGYTAGGATCACAAAGGTATGAAAAAGTTGTTTGTTATTGCTCTGTGAGTTTTTGGGAACAAGATTGCGAATGCCTTCTCAAGGGCTTTTACATCAAGTATATATACTATCTCTAAGGCGGCTAAGCCTCCTAAGTCTTCGCAGATCTCTTCCTTGCCAAGGTCGGTTGCATCAAAGTGGGCTTCGCGTCTGAACCGGGCTTTGGACTGTCTTTGTGTCATCGGGTCGTCTTCATGTTATTGCGCTGCTGGGCCGAGAATGTGGTCGGCCCGTTGAGGATCTGAGGATGCGGTCGGACCCTTGAGGGTCCGAAGCCGTGGTCGGCTCCGAGGCCGTGGTCGGCTCCGAGGCCGTGGTCGGCTCCGAGGCCGTGGTCGGCTCTGAGGTTGACCCGAGGACGTAGTCGCCCGCCTTGTCCCGGCGCTTCCTGCTTTACCTAGACTTACTGCACGATCACTTGCTTTGCTTCGCGGGAAGACTTAGGTGCTATTCCGCCTTGTTCGTCGAGAGTCCGGAGGGTCACTTTTTCAGTTGTCTGACTTTGAACGTTAATGTTGAGCGGGTAAAAACCGACCCCAACATCAATCCAATTCAAGCAGTGAGAACAACGATAGATGAAGACAAATACAAATTCCTATCTATGTCTGATTCAGCGATTCA